AGGAAAGTTGCAGATTCAGAGCATGAAAACCCTTAGCAGAATTTCTGAAAAGGAGAAAAGAAAGAGGACCTCCTCCACTAAATAATTTTAGTACCTCATTTGCCTAAAACTCCACTCACAAGGCTTGCCTTGTGATATCTAAGCAATGAGAGATTCTTCTCCTTCCTCTTCCCCATGTCAGCTTGACTCCTGCTGTTCTGTGTTTTGAAGATATGCTTCAGGGTTTTGGGTGAACAAGAACCTGTTGGTTTTAAAATGCTACTCTCCCTCCAGCTGTTGAGCACTGCCTGAGCTGAGCACTGCTGACAGGTTACTGGGGGCAGAAGCAAGCTCAAGGCAGTAACAGGTCATTTTGAAAAGGGAAGGAGGGAGAATGTGCACAGGCCTCCCATGCAGCTGGAGAAGAATTGTATGATGTGGTACTTCTGCTCATGTTTGCCCTCTGATATGGTATCTCCTCACATTAGGCAATAAACATCTTATTCAAGCATTTGGAAGTCACTGATAGTATTTGATGCACTTAGTGAAACGGCATGTTGGAAGGGCCTGCACAGGACTCTCTGATGCTGCTTTTGTGCAGGCAGTCAGATGGGAAATGCTCTGACCAGGATGTCTGCAGTGAAGAAATTTGCAGGGCTGCCTGTTCTCCCACGGCTTCTGGGGAACATGCAGGATGAGAGCAATAGGTAAAACCTGGCAGATGAATCCTAACACACTGCCCTGCAGCCTATAAGGAGGAGGCTAAAAGAGAGACTCGTCCCATCATGAAGGAATTGTGTTTTTTTTTCTTGTCCTCTCTCTAGAGAAAAACAACAGAAAATATCTCATCAGCTTTCTCAGGAACATAGCTCCTAGGATCAGTGTAGAAATACTTATAAGGAGCAGTTGTAAGATGGTGTAGCAGGATTCTAAAATTTCATATTCTCCAGAAATTATGCTGTTTATTCTTGAGTGCCATCTACTGACAATTTCTGTCTTAGTGATTTACTTTTCATTCATATTGCTTATTTTAAATGCTGTGTGCAGCATCTGTTATCTTAGGTGGAAGTGCCTGCAATTTTGGAGCTAAATGGTTAGGAGTTAGTATTTTATTGGGACAGCTGGCAGTTTGAATTGTTCCTTATTCCTTGAGCACCTCATTCCCCTCTGTAGGCTAGGATACTCATTATGTTTTCAGTTCTCTCCAACTTTCCTTTTTCCTTCCACTCATCACCAGGCTTCCTCCATTCCCTGCCTGCTCCTTCTGTCTAGAAGCCAATTTTAGGTTCCCTATGCTCACTCTTCTGGCTTCAGAACAGTTCTAGTTGTGCTGTCCCCCTTGTGCAAGAGGTTGCCTCCATAAGTTTGTTACAGTACTGCTGAGGTCTTATTTCCCCCTCTCCTTTCCGATTTTCCTCTTCTTTCAAGAGATTTTTCAGCAAGTTCCATGCAGTAACCTTGAAAATATTTAATGATCACTGACTCCGCTATATTACCTGTTCTAAAGGTATTTTATTTTAGTTATGTGATACATGAATTAGCATTATTATTACAGTTTTTCATTTTCTATCTGTAAGATTTCCTCCCACAGCAGTCCAATACATTTTGCAAAGATAAAAATAAATTAAAGGTGAAAAGTTATTGCCAAGGACAAGAGCCCAGGAAGTTTAGCCTACAAGATATTTCTTTCTCCACTGAAAATATAATCTGTATAGATAAAGAAAATGCCAGGTACCTAACTCATTATAAGCAACTGAGAAAATGGGTCAAGAGACTTCCTTCTTATACACTTAGTTTTTGGCTTAGTTCCACCTCTTCCAGCTAGACAAAGGAATGAGGAAAATACTAGAAAAGTCACCTACAGCACAGCACCAATTTGATTGAGGCTTCTTTGACCATGCCTTAGACAATACAGCACAATGGCCAGTGACACCCAGACACTCAGCTGCCACTCAATTTCAGGCAAAAAATATCAAGTTGTAGAAGTGTAGACATTTGTCCACAACATACTTATACTGTGGAACTCCCTCCCAGAGGATTTTGCTCAGGTCAAAACTGCAGATATGTTTCAAAAGGATTAGACAGATTCATGGTGGGCAGGTGTGATGTTTGCTATTAAGTGTGACAGCCTTGCTCTAACATCTGTTACAGAAAGCCCCCGTAGAGCTGATGGCTGGAGGGCTGCAACAGGGAAACTACTGTTCTGGGCTGACCCTGGTTGGTGCTGCCAGTCCCTCCCAGGGGCAGCAGCTACGGCAACCAGGGGATGTTTCAAAGCAGCCATCTTCAGCCTGGGCAAAGCCTTTGAATTCCCGTGGAAATGGCAATCTTAAATGGTTATTCTTCACTAAGATCCCTCAATCTACAGCGATAAAACTGGGATTGCCCCCCTGAACTCAATGCTACAGAAAGCACAGGGTGAGGCTTTGCAGGGGTTGTTTCAGTAGAGACAGTTTTGCTGAAGTGAGGGCTGAGAAGTGTTTCAGTATTTGTTCCTGGATTTCTAAATCCATATTCTGCCTTTTGCATAAACACAGATCCAAACTAATATTTGACTGACTTAGACATTACTTAGCAGTAAGATGGCACGTGTCACTTGCATCCCATTTCTTTTATTTTAATGTTTAATAGCCTCCTGTGCTGCAATTCATAATGTAGTCTTTATCCTCCTTTCTTGAATCAGGCAGCAAAACCTGCTCTGTGACATTGCTGTGAAATTGCTGCACAGGGGTTTCTCTCATTGAAGGGCTGACAAGACACCAGCTGAGGAGAAAGCTTAATTGCATGGGTGATCAAAGGAGAATGTATGAAGACAGGGAGACTGTAATGGGGTGTGTGTAGGAGTGTGTTTTAACGAGGGATTATAGGGGAACATGTGAGTCTGGCACACACAAAATGACAGAAATGAATGCATGAGCTAGTACAAAATAGCATGGTAACCAAAGGCATTCACAGATCAGCTTCAGTCCCTTCTCAGCTCTTGCCTAAAAGAACTATATGCTATTAGCTGTCATCCTCCAGACTATGCAAAGAGAAAAAAGTGAAGATTTGGTCTTTGCAATTGGGAAAGGAGGAAGGGATGGGGAGGGGAAGGGAGGGGGGGAAACCTCATGAGACAACAACATCCGTAAGTCATGAACTGGAAAAGAGAGATCAAAGCAATGAGCTGAAATAAGAAGAAAGGACACAGGACACTGCTGTGGTGTACTCCTGGGAATGGGAGGAATTGACATAAAAAACTGAGGCCTGAAAAAGCACTGAAGGCACATGCCAGCCTTTCCATGTGCTGTAAAATGCTGTACTGTCAGAGGTTTGGTTCATAGTGTGTACTGTGCTTTGTTGTATGCTGTCTTCCTTGACAGTAGCTCCACTAACATCACTGGGGGTACTTGAGAAGTTAGATACCTCCTAATATCAAAATAGGCACCATTAAAATGGCTTATACACAGACTTGCACCATTTTAGCCCAAATCCATTAAAAATCTCATTGCAGTTGTATTGGCATAAACCTCTATGCCAGTGTTCTTCAACCGATTTAAACTGCATCAATATAAATCCAGTTGCAGTTGATTTAAGAGATTCTAGGCAGAAATGCACTGCATTTCACAAACTGATGGGAGGACATACCCTTATTGAAATATTAAAACACATGCACTCCATCTTTTTGTACTCAGCAGTGCGGTTTTTAAACTTTTGCCATTTTGTGTTTTATAAGTCCTTACAGGCAGTGAAAATTAAGTAATTTTAAAACAGTCAGGTCAACAGCATTTTGCTTCTTCGATTGAATCTGTGTGCAACCACAGAAGCCTCGAGCTTTAGTGTTTTATAAAATTCTAAGGACAGAGTAGAAGCACAATTCTTCTTCTACTTATGCTACTCTGAATTCAAGAGCTTAGTGACTGACAACTTTTTTTTCTTTGCAAAAGGCATCTGGCCGTTAGTTAAATAAACACTTTTTTGTAAAAATAATGAAAGCTCAGCATCTAAGATGCCACCCATTAGATCAGGATGCTCAGGGCCCCATCCAACCTGGCCTTGAACACTTCCAGGGATGGGACATCCTCACAGTAGATAATTTCTTCCATATCTCTAACTGAAATACCTACTCTTTAAGTTTGAAATTTTTTCCCTATATCCTATCACTATCTGCCCAAGTAAAAAGTCAGTCTTCCTCTTCTTTGTAAGCCCCCTTTAGGTACTGGAAGGCTGCAGTGAGGTCTCCCAGAGCCTTCTCTTCTCCAGGCTGAACAAGCCCAGCTCTCTCAGCCTGTCTTCACAGCAGAGGTGCTCCAGCCCTCAGATAATTTCCTGCTCCAACAGGTCCACGTCTTTCTTGTACTCCAGGGGGGGACTCATGAGGGTAGACTAGAGGTGCAGAATCACCTCCTTCAACCTGTTGGCCACTCCTCTTTTGATGCAGCCCAGGATATGATTGGCCTTCTGGGCTGCGAACCCACATTGCCATCTCATTTTCAATTTTTCATTCACGAGAATCCCCAAGTTCTTCTCCACAGGGCTGCTCTCAGTGACTTCTTCTCCCAACCTGTACTCATTTCTGGGATTGCCCTGACCCAGAAGCAGCATCTTGCACTTGGACTTGTTGAACCTCACGAGATTCTTGTGGGCCCACCTATGAAGTTTGTCCAAGTAGTTTTTTGGTCTACATGGTCTATTTATGGCCAGCTTGGAGCAGTCTAATGTTAAAGAAGTTTATCTAACATAACACTGGAAGAACAAACACAGTTATGGCCTTGGATTGGCACTATGTAATGTTAAAAGGAAGACAGAAAACTACTGCCTCTCACGTGCCGGCAGTGACAAATTATGCAGTTCTCTCCTTCCACTCTCACATTTGCGATAGTTGCAGTAGAACCTTAGTTCAAACACTGTTCTTATTTAGTACTGGAGCTGTCAAGCCAGCCTCAGCTTTTGTGTGAGATTTCATGAAAAATAAATTTGACAATTTCTCCAAGCTGAAAGGCCTCTAACCATGCCTCCAGCCTGTTAGCCATAGTACTTACATGCTTTGTGAAATTTGTGTTTCACGTCAAGAACGGTAGATGCTGGAGGTACCTGAAAAAGAAAGCAAAATGCATGCAGATTAATTTTCTTGTCTTCTGCACTCTGGGATCCCTTCTCCATTCCTCTAATGAAGAGATGATTCAATTTGTCTGCAAGTTCTTTTGGCAAAATTGAAAGAAATCAGGAAATTTATTCTCACAGGTTGATATGTTATTAAGGATTGTCCACATTTGACTTACACATTACCTGGACCACCTCTGCTTGATCAATGGAAGGTTAAAATCACAAGGGTCGAGGGAAAGCCTCTGGTCCTACTTGATGCAATAATTGCCCCCAAGATAAAACCAGTGAGAAAACTTGAAGGGTTTATCTTTAAAGTTAAGTTCAAGCATGGTGAGGCCCATCTCCTAGAGACATGAAATGGATTTCCTGAGAAGCCAGTAGCAAGGTGGCAGGTTCTGTCCTTTCTGCCTGAAATGAGTTTGCTGCTGCATGGTGTTATTCATGTGCACTGACGCAATTCAGGTGTCACAGTATTAGATGGCAGTCTGGAAGCCTTTTAGGCTCTATTTTATTATGTATATTGATTTCTTAATATTCTTTGTACAAAGTATCTGAGAAACACAACTTAGTGGAGTGAAAGACTTAGATTTACAAGGAAAGGCAGTGGGACACTTCAGGAAGTAGTATGTTAAGCTTGAGATCAAGGTGACATCAAGGTTTCAACAACTTGACCCTGATTTAATGTTGTGTATTGTTCATTTAAGCACAGAGGTTGAGAAGTAAATTGAACTGTGTCAGCTATGGGAATCTGCTTTGGTTCTAGCAAGAGATTTCATCACTGCAGTCACATAGACAGTCACAGAAAACCCTCTCCCCTGAAGACTTTAGGCACCTGTGTGGCATAGATTAATACCAGTATGAAGTGGTGTTGACTTATAGCAAAACCTTGAGGAGTAGCAGAATTTCTTTGGGTTGAGGTAGAGAAACAGTCACAGCACCATTTTCCCTGTCTGGGCACTCAGCACCTGGCTCACCCCATCCCCAGCTTCCCTCAGTTTAACCAGAATGCAGCAGTTGCCTGGCGTAGCCTTCTTGGCAGTTACACAGGAACCCAACAGTCCTGCTCTGCAGAAGTTTATCTGTCTCTGCCCACCTAAAGATTTCTATGGGATATGCAGTTCCTGTTCCATTGTATTAGTTAGAACTCATACACTTAAGCATTAACTGACTTACTGAGCCTTGCTTTGATCTTGGCACCATCTAGCTTATAGCCCCACTTCTTCGAAATGTGCTTGCTGATATTTATCTGTCTATCTGTTTTACTTGCTAGTGATTTGTGACAATAATCATGCAAAATAATAGAGAAGAACATAAGAAATTCTGCCAGTAGAGATCATTCAGCACCTTAGCATAGGTTGTTTTGTGGAAGAGACTGAGTTTGTAGAAATACTGATGTAAGAAAATAAAATTGCTGACTCTGAAGTAAAAATCACTACAGAAAGAAAAGTTCACTCTTATATATTTTGACACCCCACACAGATATACAGTATATGTGCCATTAGTACTTATGAGTAAGGCAACTTGTTTCCAGTAATAATATGAACAGACAGGGAGCTCAATACAGATTTGAATTATCTAAAGCTGTAAAATGACACCTGTGCTAAAAGGTTGTAAAGTACGGATTTTTTCTAGCTTTTCCTTTGGGTTTAGATGAGAACACTTTCTTTTCGATGGTTACAGAGGGTTTTACTGGGCATTGGAAAAGTCCTTATTTGCAGAAACTGCTGTAAGTGAACCTCTACTTAAACCTTGACTTGTCTCTCTGATGTGCCTGCCAAGCAATGCCAACTCCACCCAAATCAAGGGCTGGGCTCCTTGAAATCAAGGACTACCCTTTCCCTGGCCCTGACATTTGTGTTGACCCGAACCGTGTTGAATAGTACTGCGCCAGGAAGGAGACATTGCCCTTGGAGTTCCTGATGCCAGCTCGGTCTCTTTTCTTCCTAGCTAAAGGGAACAACAGAAGAAACTGTCTTACCTTTCTTGGCTCAAAATGGAAAGAAAGAATTTTATCTGTATTCGTTGCACTTAAGCCATTCCCTGCAACATCCATTTGAACAGCACATCTCCCATAGTCTACATGTGCCTTTTCTCGTAATGTGTACAGCCTCTGTGGACTTGAATACTAGAGATGGGGGAGTTATGTTCTCAAAATCTCTAAAAATGTCTGAAATTGCTTTCTCACACCTTGTAATCTCACACCTGTGAGGCTTGGATCCCAGAATCTGTCAGATATGGATACAAGTGCCTTTAGCTGGCAACAGCTACATGGCGCACAAGACTGCAGACCAGAATCTGTCATGTGCCCTAGCACAGGGCAGGTTTGCAGGTATTCAGAGCTGGCATTGCCAGATGAAGGACAGGGATACTCTTTTCCAATGTGAAGGAGGATGAAACAGCTTTCCAAATACAGTATAATCTACATTATTACAGGTCCTGCATCTCTAGAAGAGATCAGCATCTCACCATAACGTGTTCTGGGAAAGAGGAGCCAGGGCCAACCTGTGCTCTGGAGAGATGATTATCTGATTAAGTCAAAGAAAGCTGGAAAAACTGTTAAGCTTAGCACACTTACAGAACAGTGCTTACTTGAAACAGAGGCAGGGTCTCCATCTCCTGCACTCCTGAGTATGTGCTGACTTAGGGCAGAGCTGCTCTCAGTCAGTTCAAAATGTCTAGTCCAGCCCTTCTTAGCAAATCTACCTTTACATCCCTCTCCCTTTTTCATCCTGAGACATTCAGTGCTTTCTCCCCTCCAAATGGTTCCCTATGTCAGCCATGGGTTTCACATCACCTAACTTTAGCTGCTAAAAAAATTTGTCTAAGATAGTGTTTTAGGTCTACCTGTAAAACCATTCACATGCCTTAGGTATTTAAAAGTGACAAAGTGCCTGCCAGTATCTGTGCTTACAATGGTCTGCTGCAGCAGAGGAACCAGTGAGTGTGTCCATAGCATCCCACATCACACACCACCTCCCCTACCTCCAAAGGTGGCGCTTGAACTATGTAGCTGCAGCTGGGAGGACCGTGCTCTGTGTGACACCTGTGAGAGAGGCAGAGCTCATTAGCAGGAGCACTGCTGTGCCTGAGTACATCCAAGCTGCTTTAGGCTAGAGCCAGTTTAAATCTTGCCAGCTGGGGCCCAGAGAATGTGCTTGTTTGGTTGGTCACAGGCTGGCAGCTCCACATGGCACCACACTGAACGGGCTGAGGGTGCCCAGGGAAGGCAAGGAGCACACATCCAGCCAGGAGGGCAGGAACACATTTGTTTTACGAGCCAGCTGGCTTAGAGAAGAACCCTTCCACTTGAGATAAACTACACAGATCATGGGTTGAAAAATAACACAAATACTTTCCTCTTCAGAATGGGCTATGACATAGAAGAATCGCAGTGTCCTTTTCCAGGCAGAATAATGAGGCTACAGGCCACAAAAGAATGAAATACATTTTTTTATGATCTTGATAATTCTGTGTCCTTTTTTAAAGATCTCATAAAACAACCAGTGAAGTTATAGTTTCTAATATTGATCAATGTGAAGATGGATGCTGAGACATCGGCTTACTACTAAGACTTTCCTCTTTGTAGACCATTAATTATCTTTTGTTCTTTTCACTGTACATCAAGACAAGCTAAAGAATTGTAAGGACTGGAAAAGCATCTGCTCTTATTACCCTTTGTGCTAACTGAATAAAACACCTTGGAATATTTCACTCTAATTATTAGTCTTACACTCCTTTCATTCTTTTGAATTATTTGTGAAAGTGTTATAACCTTTCCTTTCCTCTATTTCAGCACTTTTCAAATATGCAAACGGAAAACAGAGTGAAAGACCATCCTTAGCTTATTTAAAGCAAGATGGATTTCACTGTAAAAATACCTCTTACTTGGCACATATCTTCTATAGTCTAATGGTCAAGCCTGCTTTCCCTACTTCTTAACTTGTAGTCTAACAACAGATTTTAAATATAGTTAGTTTCTAGAAAGTTTACTATCATGTATAAGGTTCAAAACTACTTTTTCTTCAAAAGAAAATGTTATGAAGAAATGCAGATTTTACAGCTGTGCGTTGCATTGATTACACTTTTCACTCAGAAAAGGATGATTTAAAAACCTCAAATCCTCTTTTTCCTGTACCTTCATAGCAAAAATACTCTCACTTTCCCATTTGAGGCAACTTTTGATTTTATAGGAATTCAAGAATGAAAGGACCTTCTGGGTCATCCTACCAGTTCTATTCTTCCTTTATGCACCAATGCACAAAGCATGACATTTCTTTTTAAGATTTAAAATACCAAATTAGTATCTTGGGCTATGACCTAAGGAAGAGCACTAAGTAGAAGATATTAAGGGAACTTAATACTGCCTTTTGTGAGTGCAAGCTAGTCAGATAGTTATCCACTTTCCTACCTCTTTCACATTTTTAAGTCAAGGAATTATGCCAAATCTGGTGATCTGCTTGTAATTGTATCACACAGTTCTTGCACCAAAGAATTATTGTAGGGGTTAGAGGTCAGCAGAATATCAATAAGAATTTGAATAATAGAATTTCAGCAAATAAGTGATTTTTCATTCAAGGTTTCCTTTTGAATATTTTTTCCTCCTTGTGATATATCAGTATTACTGCACTGCTGAGTCACCTACTTTGTAACAGGCAATCATTTTCCATAATGGCAGAAATTCAGAAATTCTGCCACTACTGCTGCTCATTAACCACAGCACCATCTTCAGCCAGGGTAGATTTGTCTAAAAGGGTGACATCAGCTTATTGCAGCTGAGGATATGGCTGCAAAACAGATAACCAGCCAATGGGAAAGCCAGGTACTTTCTAAATTCAGCACTCAACAAATACTTCCTGCTTTTGCACCCTGTCCTTGTCTTGAGACCATGATGTACCACTAGAAATCAGCAGCATTTCACAGAAAGTTCATCAGGAAAACACCTATTCTAATTGATCTCCATGTTTTGTGAACTTGACTTCTAGATCAGA